CACAAAATACAGATAATCCTCACTTAGCAACTGCTTCATTTAGTAACTATCTACATCTATGACCTTTGTGGTTTGGTAAAGCAAAAGAAAGCTGAAGTAAGATCATAAAATCATGATGTTTCAGTTAGCAGCTACTTCACTTAACGACTAAGTTAACTGAATTATGGTTGTAAATCGAGGACTACCTATACAAAGGATTTGATTGTGATTGGATGTCTACAACTACCTATACAAAGGATTTGATTGGTTCAGGTGATGACTATTTATTTATTACAATTAGAAAAGTTAGGGTTAGGGTTAGTCCTCACAATTCACAACCAGCAGTTGCTCCAGGTTATCTACATTCTTGCCTCACCAATTCTAACCATCAGACTATGAACTCTGAAAGGCAAATTTAGAGTTTAGGGTCCAGGATTCAGGTTCAAGGGACTCCTTGTTACAGGTAATCCTGGTTTAGCAACCACTTGTTCAGTGATCATTCAAAACTGCAACAGTCCAGAACAAGGTGGCTTATGACCCATTCCTCGTATAGTAGTTACAGTTTGGCAACTGGCGCACAATCATGATGTCATAGGTCCTGCGGTCATGTGATCATCATTTGCAATCTTCACTGCTGGCTTCAATGAGAAGTCCCTGAGGAAACCCATGAGAGGTCACAAAAGATTATCACCTAAGCATGGGACACTGCAACCACAGTGTTGCTTAACAGTGGCAACTGAAGCTGATGCAACTGCCATTGTTAAGTCAGTGTGTTCACATAATATTGCTCTTGATGACCACATCGCTTAACAATGGAGCTCCTGATCCCAATTTCCACTGTTAAGGGAGGACTAAACTAATATCCCTAATTTGTAAGGAAGATCTGGCTTCTTATCCCTGGTTCCTCCAAGTTAAAAGAAACAGGAATCAAAAGGGGAAATTACTCTGCTTTAGATTCTGCAGAATGGTCAGGACAGACAAAACTAGATTACATTACTAGCATTTCCATAAAGTGGAAGCAATTCCAGATTCTTTTGGATTAAGTGGTCCAAAATATGTAGGATAAAACCATGACAAATGTTTGTTTTCCACAGAGGCAATATAATAATAATAATAATAATAATAATAATAATAATAATAATAATAATAATAACAACAACAACAACAACAACAACAACAGCAACAACCCTTAAGGACAAATGCATATAAAGTCAAAATTGAGAAGACAGCAACAGACAGTAAGTGCCGCCTATGCAAAGAAGCTGAAGAAACAGTGGACCACCTGGTAAGCTGTTGCAAGAAGATTGCACAGACTGACTACAAGCAGCGGCATGACAAAGTAGCAACAATGGTGCATTGGAAGATCTGCAAAAAATATCATTTGCCTGTAAGCAAAAACTGGTGGGATCATAAAATAGAGAAAGTCATAGAAAATGATAAAATTAAACTGCTCTGGGACTTCAGAATTCAAACAGACAAGCACCTGCAACATAACACCCCAGACTTAACAATTGTCGATAAGAAAGACAAAAAAGTCTGGATAGTGGATGTGGCAGTGCCTGGAGACAGCAGAATAGAAGAGAAAGAACTGGAGAAGATAACAAAATACAAAGACCTACAAATAGAAATAGAAAGACTGTGGCAAAAGCAAGCAAGGGTAGTACCAATAGTCATAGGCGCCTTGGGTGCAATCCCAAAACAACTGGAGCACCACTTGAACACCATTGGCATTGACAAATTCGCTATTAGTCAATTGCAAAAGGCGGCCTTACTAGGAACTGCTTCTATCCTGTGACGATATCTGTAATACCATCAAACATTCACATCTGCCTATCCCAGGTCCTGGGTAAGGACTCGATAGGTAGACAAAATGCCAAATCCAGTCTGAACATCTGGCTGACTGTGCGATGATCCATAATAATAATAATAATAAAGTTGGAAGGGACCTTGGAGGTCATCTAGTCCAACCCCCTGCTCAGGCAGGAAACCCTATACCATTTCAGAGAAATGGCTGTCCAGTCTCTTCTTAAAAACCTCCAGTGTTGAAGCATTCACCGCTTCTGGAGGCAGGTTGTTCCACTAGTTAATTGTTCTAACTGTCAGGAAGTTTCTCCTTAGTTCTAGGTTGCTTCTCTCCTTGATTAGTTTCCACCCGTTGCTTCTTGTCTTGCCTTCAGGCGCTTCGGAAAATAGCTTGACTCCCTCTTCTTTGTGGCAGCCCCTGAGATATTGGAACACTGCTATCATGTCCCCCCTCGTCCTTCTCTTTGTTAAACCAGACATACCCAATTCCAGCAACCGTTCCTTATATGCTTTAGCTTCCAGTCCCCTAATCATCTTTGTTGCTCTTCTCTGTACTCTGATTTCTTTTGGCAAAAAAAGTCTAATTTATATCTCTTCCAGAAAGGTAGCATGTTCTTCAGATATAAAAAAATACTGTAAAATGATTCAGATATAAAAGTGCCTCCTGATTTCTCAGCCTCCTGATTTCCAATTAAAGCGTTCCTTGCTTGTTTGGAATAGTAGTTTAGCACTAAATATATGCTAATAAAATCCTAAAGAGGCCAAGGCAATCTCAGCATGCAGGTGTTTGATTGTAGCCTGGGTGGTTGATAGGAATAACAATCTGAAACCTCAGATCACCCTCACCTTGTTAAGCATATCGCTTGAACACAGCCAATGTGTAGGGTAGAGGGTAGAGCATGGGTGTCCAACGTGGAATACTGCAGCCAATTTTGGTCACCATATCACAAAAAAGATGTTGAGAGTTTGTAAAAAATTCAGAGAAGAGCAACTAAGATGATCAAAGGCCTGGAGACTAAAACATACGAAGAACGGCTGCAGGACTTGGGTTTGGCTAATTTAAAGAAAAAAAGAAAGAGGGGAAACATGATAGCAGTATTCCAATATTTGAGGGGCTGCCACAAAGATGAGGGTATCACGTTATTTTCCAAAGCACCAGAGGGCAGGACAAGAAGCAATGGTTGAAACTGAACAAAGAAAGAAGCAATCTAGAATTAAGGAGAAACTTCCTGACAGTGAGGACAATTAACCAATGGAACAGCTGGCCTCCAGAAATCATGGACACTCCATCACTGGAAGAGGCTAGAATTCAGGGGTAGGCAAACTTGGCTCTTTTATGACTCATGGACTTCAACTCCCAGAATTCCTGAGCCAGCATGCTGGCTCAGGAATTCTGGGAGTTGAAGTCCATGAGTCATAAAAGAGCCAAGGTTGCCTACTCCTGGGCTAGATAGTTGCTTGTCTGAAATGGTATAGGTTCTTCTACTTAAGCGGGAGGCTGGACTAGAAGACCTCCAAGGTCCCTTCCAGCTCTATTCTATTCTACCTTGGCAACCTCAAGACTTGTGGACTTCAACTTCCAGAATTCCCCAGCCAGCATAGCATAGGTCTTAACAATTGGCTAAGGTTGGATGCTTCTGGGGTAGAACAAGCCAGAGCTCATCAGCTGAATATGGACAACAAACCATTATATTGTAACCCTTGACCCCAACATTGTGCTGTCAAAACTCAATGCTTTTAATGAGAGGAAATCCAACCCCCACTTTCTCAAAATGTTTCCCTTGAGTATCACACTCTACTTGTATAACCTCACTAGTCCATTAACTTAACCTGCTGTGGTCCTCCCAGATATTTTCAAAAGGCCTGCCTTGTCCATTCCTCTTTAGTGCCCAGGTTTCATCCTCCACCAGAGCTTTTAATGCAGTCTCCCATCCCCTTCCTGATTTCTACCCTTCTACACTATGATCAGCTGTGTTGCAATCCTGCTAAAGAAGTTACAACTTTTAAAATTTAAATTTTAGGGAAAAATGTTACAAGTAATTTGGAATTATCTATTCTTTTATTTTACATATGCCGGTCTATCCTATTATTCCACTATTATCTTTTGGGACAGGGTTGGGAATTTCTAAGCCAGTCTTCCATAATATGCTGCTCTCCAAATGTACAAGTAGCACTTGACTTACAACCATTCATTTAGCAACCATTTGAAGTTACAATGGCATTGAAAAAATTACTTATAACCATCACAAAATCTCCAGTCACATGACCACAATGTATTTATGATGGTTGCAGCATCCTGGGCTCACCTGATTGTAATTTCCCAGCCAGCATCCAATAAGCAAAGTCAATGGGGGAAGTTAGATCCATATAACGATTGTGTAGTTGGCTTAACTGCAGCCATTTGTTTTTAATAATTGTAGGAAAAAGGTTGCAAAATTAGGCACAACTCACTTAACAAGTGCATTGCTTAGCAATGGAAATTCTAGTCCCAACTGTGGTCTCAAAATCAAGGATTATGTGTATTAGATTTAACTGCCCCAATATCTAGCCATCATGGCCAGTTTTGCTGTTAGGAATTGACATCCTACATTTGGGGCAAACTAGTTTGGTCAAGCAGGGGCTGCATCATGAACGTGAATCACAAAACAAGAAGCTACAACACATTTCTTCCCAAGGCAGTACAACCAACACACCACTTGGTGCCTAGGTTCCTGGGAGAGAGCTAACACCTGTGTTCACACAGGTTTGCTCAACCAGGTCCACGACGTGTGCATCTGCACTCATGTAAGGTACTGAGCTGGTTTGGTTTCACATGCGTGGCCAACTGTTGGCAGCCCTCTTTACTGTGTCTTCGGGAATTATCTCCGTGTCACAAAAAATGGAATATCGATCTACATGTGGGTGTAGGAAGCAAACCATCTGTCGGACAAGACTGGCTTTTCTCGGTCACTTCCGCCTCCTAAAACAGACAGTAGATCAGGTTTCCCCGAGTTCTCAGCAAGGACGCTGGAAGGAATCGTCAGAAATGACGATAAATGTGAAAGGGAGAGGCGAGACCGAGGATCCTCTGGATCAATGGAGAGCCTTCTTGATGTCCAGAAACAGCAGCAACGGCCCATCTCCAAGAAGCCAAGATAACCATTGTGGCCTAAAGCAGTTAAGAGGGTTGCGTTACACTTTCACATTGCCTCCGAAAATATTCACTCCAATTCACACTGGGAGAATCAAACCATTTGCACCCATTTGCCTGCAATTGTACACGTATTTATTTGTCAGACTCCTATAAACCCTTCCTCCGGGATTTTTGAGGCGGTATGCATAAAGGTTACCGGATCAAGGCCTCAAAAGTCCGGACAACCACCAGAGGGCAAGGGCGGGGAAAGTACAACACAGAGGGGGAGATACAGCGGTCTGTGTCGCCAAGATTTAGTGCAGCATCTCTATCCCCTTAAATCGTGGCGAGGAAGCCTCTAAGTGTTGCCAGCCGTTTAAAAAAAAAAAAAAATGGGAACTTGGCCTCACGTGGCACTCTGTAGATGTTCAGAGGATCCGCTTGCACGGAGGAGGCACGCTGCGCGCCGAGCAGGAGCAGCAGCGGGCTCGTCACGTGACCTCTTTCTCTTTCGCCGCCCGCCGGTCCCTTTAAACCCTCTTTCGCCGAGCGAGTGGGAGGAGACGGAGGGAGGCTCGAAGGCGGCCGGGCGCCCCTTTTGCGCTGCCGCTGCTGGGAACGCTTGGCGCGGCTGCTTTGCCAGTCTCTCCGGCCGCCTCTCCTCCGTTCCTTCCGCCCTGACTCCGCTGGGGGAGGACCGAGCCGGGAGACAACCATCACCCCCCCCCGATCCATGCCTCTGCGAGCCTGGTAAGCGCTGCGCCCCGTCCTCTCCGGCCCCTCGCTTTCTCTCCAACCCCCCCCCCCCGGCCTTCGATGCAGCGACAGGATCCCGCTCTGCTTTCTCCGCTTTCGCCTCGAGTTCATGTTTTGCAAAGGGGGCGGGTGGTCGAGGGCGCGTGTCCGGACTGGGAAAGCAGCGGGATCCCCAGTCTTTCTTCTCCCCGCCGACCTGTTTCAGTTGCGGCGTCCGTAGTGAAAGCTTGACACCCGCGGAAGAGCTTACGGCGCATCGCTCCCGCCCTGGCTTTAAATCTCGTAGCTTTCCCAGACACAACGGGGGTGTTGCGTGGCTGGTTTGTGGAGCTATTGAAGCGGGGGGGGGAGGGTGCGTCCCACGCTTCCCCCCCACATCCTCCACATTCCCACCCCTCTTTCGGTTTACCAATTTGCCTTCTTCTCTTCCTTTCTTAAGGATCTGATGAGTGTAGGTGGTAATTAAGCCGGATATTGGGGCGGGGGGGGGTAGGAGAACATTCGTATTTTGATTTGTTGCTAGTTTCCCCCCCCCTTTATGCTTTTGGATAACAAGTGTCTATCCTTGTGGGAGGGGAGAGAAAGATGCACACCCCCTCCCTTTCGTGCAGCATCAGGATTCCTTGCACAGACGTGGGGATACATGAACACTGAGCTAGATCAATCTTTTTCCATCTTCCTGGTGAGAAGACTAATAATTTGCCATGTTCTGTGAATCGGGCAATTCCCGAGAGAAGCTTGATGATAGCAGGAATCCCCGTGGTACCTTTATCCATTCACAATTATATCCGAAAATTCGAGGGAGGGAGGAGGTGGGGGAATCTCCCTTCGACCTTTCTCTCTGCCTACACCTGTGCCAAGGGCTGGCACTGGATGTGCCAACCAGGCTTCAGAAATTGCGTTTGTCCCATCCCGGTGGCTGCCTGACTTGACTTGATGATTGTTTGGCTGCGTGGTGGAGGTTGTAAATGGTTCCGGATGGGCTGCCACATTTCCACCCGCCTTAGGTTTTTAATCAATGGGCTTCCTTATTAATGACTCTCGCCAAAGCCACGTGCTGTGCTGCTGACAAGGCTGGTGTGGTTAAATGGAGTGAGCTGGCTGCTTCAGACAACTGATAATGGGTGTCACGAAGGGACACCAGACTGTGGCTTATCTAATTTTATTGGATTATTTTAATTGCCAGGGAGTTGCTTGTGGGATTTTTCTGCCTGGGGGGGGTGGCTAAAATAATTTCCCTTGCATCTTGTCTACACCGAACAGACAATATTCATTTCTCTGCCTGAAATAGCAAAATGACTTGGCCCTCTCATTGTATGGTAAATGCTGTGCAGGGAGTGTTTTATGCTCTGATCTGATGCAGGGAACCCCTTTATTCAGAGACTACATAGCATCCCCTGATCTTTTGCTTCGTCTTCCCACCTCCCTGCTTTCCAACCCACATCTTGCTGCATTATTTATTTACTAGCAAAAGGGCTGTCAATACCATGGGCTGATCTATGCAAGACGGTGCATTGTACATAGAGACAATGTGTAGTACATTGTGTGTGTGTGTGTGTGTCTGTCCTATGTGCTCTGCATGCAAACATCGCCCATCAAAGGTAGAAGTCACTGGCTTTTTACTGGAATCCTGAGTCCCTGCACAGAGATTTTTTTTTCCTCCCCAGTAAGGAATCGCGAATATTGATTCTCTTTTAAAGGACAAAAAGGCACATTTAGGGATTCTGCTTGGATGGGGTAAAATTCGATGCTTTAAGAACTGAATTAGATCTTGTGGGTGGATTCCCAGATCTGTTGTCTTTTGGGACTGTGAGTTCTAGTCCTGTCTTAGGCATGAACGCTGGCTGGGTGAACTTGGGCCAGTCACTCTCTCTCAGCCCAACCTACCTCACAGGGTGGTTGTTGTCAGGAAAAGTAGGAGGAGGAAGGAATATTAGGTTATGTTCATTGGCTTGAGTTATTTGTAAAATTAATACAGGTGGGGTATAAGTACAATAGTCACTCCGTGAGGGAGATGGGTGGTTTCTAAATAGGATATATAAATAAATCCTTCATTTGGGAATACCTTTCTGCTCAAGGGAAAGATGCTTATTGCTGCGTGTAAAAAAAGAAAAAAAAAACAGGATTTTCCATCCCTTAAACCTGGAGAGATGGTGGGTCAGCAATGGGAAGTTACGAATGGGCAGCTTGCCCTCCTCTTTCTGAATTATAGTAGCCTGGGGATTGCCTGGTGGGAAAAAAATTGGACTTTAGGATCAATGTTGCATATTGTGGATGAATCATTGATCGTCATTTGAGAAAATATTGACTCCTGTTGGCAAGCGGTTTTGCCTTTTGTGTTAGATTTAAAAGAAAGAAAAGGGCCAAACAGAATTTGGAAAAGATGTGTGCGCATTCTATTAATGTATTACAGGTAATCCTCAACTTAAAAGACCAAACATGAGCCCCAGTTTCAGGTGCTAAGCAAGATAAGTTATTTTTGCCCCATTTTATGTCCTTTCTTGCCACACTACAGTTAAGTGAATCGTTTGGTCATTAAGTGAACCTGACTTCCCTCCCATTTGACTTTGCTTGTTGGAAGCTGGCTGGAAAGGTGACAAATGGTGATCACGTGACCGCAGAACAGGGCAGCTATCACCAATACATGCCAGGTTGCCAGGTGTTTGAATTTTCATCATGTCACCATGGGGAAGCTGCAACGGTTATAAGTGTGAAAAAATGGCCATAAGTTACTTTTTTCAGTGCCTTTGTCATTTTGAACAGTCACTAAATGAATAGTTGTAAGTTGAGGATTATCTGTAATTGCATGTCAATAATGCCAAAACATTCTCAAAGTGATTTATAGAATATCAATAAACTCATAAAGTCACTTACACATGAGTTGGATGGCTATATAAATTTGTTTAATAAATCAATTAAAGTTACATTATATATGACATCCGTTCTTAAAGTAAAAAACAAAAAAGGGTAGCAGCACCCAAGAAAACCCATGTTTTCTAAAAACTTGAGGGCTTAACCTGCTTTAGATTTCCTGCAGCAACAAAGAGGGCTGTAGACTTTATAACTAACTAGATAATGCAGTAATCCAGTAATAGTTTTCACTTGGTCTGCAATATGCACAACTTAGAAAATGCTTTTTCCAAAAGGCAACTGGGCTTTCTTTGATTTTTTTTTCTTTGAAAATCTGCTAGAACTAAAGAAGCTTCTTGGATGAGAAGCAAAACATTTTCAAACAAAAAGCCAAGAAAGTCCAGTTGCCTCTTTAAAAAGCACCTTTGGGACAACCATGACTGGAATGATCGAGAATCCCCATAAATATTTAACCGAGTTGTCCCAGTTTCTCAATTAGGGTGTCACCACTGAAAAGACCACACAGTCTTTCCCAACAGACTGCCCTCCCCTATATATTAAGACTGCAATTCCCAGAATTCCTAAAGCACTATGGGTGAGGTTAGGGCAGGGGTAGGCAACCTCGGCTCTTTTATGACTCGTGGACTTCAGCTCCCAGAATGCCTGAGCCAGTATGGCTGGCTCAGGCATTCTGGGAGCTGAAGTCCACGAGTCATAAAAAAGCCAAGGTTGCCTACCCCTGGGTTAGGGTTAGCTATCACTAGCTACTTCCTTGGGACTTGAGTCTGCATGGCTGCTGTACATTGTGTCAGGATGGTCCAGCTGGAAGAATTCCTACATCCTCAGATAAACATTGGTACTGTAATGCAGATCAGGTAAATCCCTTTTTCTACCTTCATATAATGAGTAGATGATTTTATATTTATTTATTTATTTGGTATCCCACCTTTATTTGTAAAAATAACTGAAGGCAGCAAACACATGGAACATGCATATCTAATACAACTTCTTCCTCTTATTTTTTTTCACAACAGTCCTGGGAGGTGGGCTGGGCTAAGAGACAGTGACAGGCTCAAAGTCACCCTGCTGGCTTTCATAGTTAATGTGGGATTTGAATTCACAGTCTCCCACTTTTTAGCCTGGTGCTTTAACCTCTAGACCAGACGTGTCAAACTCGCGACGTCATGTGACGTCGCACGACATATCGGGACTATTTTGCCATTGTCGGCAATGGGGTGAGCGTGGCTTCTGTGTGACACATCCAGCCCGTGGGCCGGCAGTTTGACACCCCTGCTCTAGACCAAACTGGCTCTCTCCCGATCTTTAAGAAATTTGCTCATTTGGATCCCTTCCCTACCATTGCTGGAAGCAGACTTCTGTTTCCTACTTGATAGAATCTTCCACTAAATTAATACTAGACCAGTCTAATGATTTGGCAGTGCCAGCAACAAAAGCAGAGAGAGTTAAGTGGTCTAGAATTTTAGATTACATTGGGGAACATTCAGAAGAAAGAAAGAAAAAATAACAGAAGAAACAACATAGTCATATTCCTCAACTAAATAGATCTCTTCATGACTGCATGAATACAAGGATCTTAATTCTATGTACTTCCGTGTCAGGATTCTTCTGATACTCATTTTAATGTTGTTACCCATCTGTGATTCCTCCTTCCGAGATGCTTGGAGAGGGTGGGTAATTCTCTTTCACTCCCTAATTTATGCCTTTAGGAAAGGATGACAGTAATAGTGTCAGAATCTGATCACTGTATGGCAGTGGTTCTCAACCTTTTTAATGCCGTGACCCCCAACCGGTCGTACGTTGAGGACTACCAACCGGTCGTAAGTAGAGGACTTTCCCTGCCCGGGAGCGCCGCGCATGTGTGGTGCCGCCCTCTGCGCCGGCCGAGGCGTAGCTGGCAAGCAGCAGAGATGGCACAGGCCGACCACCAGCTGGGCCACCAGCTGGCCCAGCCCAAGGGAGGTAAGGCACCCGCCGGGCCCCACGCGTGCCAGCAACCCTCCCTGTGCCCGCTGGCCTCCCACCTCCCACCCCTGGCCCTCTTTTACTTACATTTTTAGTAGTTGCTCAGCAGGGAGGGGTGGAAACTTCCAGACAGCTCGCCTTCGCTGCAGACAACTTGCAGC